TGGGATTTGTGGTGGGCAAAGTGGCGCTGGGGCAGGTTTTCTACGAGTACTTCGGTTTCCCCTGCCAATCTTCATTCCACCAATTTGCTCCACAATCACCCTCACCTATCATCTGGGGCTGGTACAATAGGCCAGAAGTACAAGGGACTTAGTTCCACTCCATTACCAATAAAAAAAAGGCATATGAGGGAGTGGTGATATAGCTCCACTATTCTTGATCTCGACACTAGATGAAGGTGACAGGTCACCTACATTCACCGGCAGTTTTACTCCCAGTGAAAGAGGACGCCGTGGAGTAGAGAAATATTTCTTGCCTCTGCCGGTAACTGAACCTCGGCCGTCTCGCTCATAGCACGTCGGAATACCGACTGGGCTACCCCAGCTCAATTCAACATACTGTGTATGCACACCATTTCTTCCCATTGACACCAATAGCCTCTGAAATTGATAGAGCGTTTTCACATAACCGACGATTGGACCAACGTTTGATTTCTGACACACACATTCAGCACTGAAAGTGATGAAAGGGAAATTTCTTTGGCTCAAGCAGGTCTGTGCACTTATATTTAAATCCTCCAAAACCTGTTGAAAAGAAAGTGAACTGGGTATGGTAATTACATATTCCTTGTGGTTCTGCATTTCTGCTGACGTCATACCTCAACAGGGGCCAGCAATGGAAGATCTGCCTAGCAGCACTAAGATATGATGTTGTATCGGTAGATAATGAAACATTTCCATTAATAAAGCGAAGTTTTCTCTGTGCTTAATGAAGCACCACATCATAAAGACACGTGGAATATGGGCATAGCTGCACGCATTATGGACCTCCGTACTAGCTGAAGGTGAGTGGTCAGCTTCACGCTCCAGTCTCTTTAGTCCTGGTGGAGTGTCAACCCGTAGGATTATGTTTTGAACAAAGTCACGGGGTGTACAACAGATCTGAACAACGGTGGAGGAGAAGAAATCGCTTGCTTTGATGGGAATCGAGCCCCGATTGTCCAGTCCGTAGCTACGCAGAGTACTTTTAATTAATCCGGTTCAAAATTGAAAGGATTAATACTCCAAACGTATCCACAAACTGGAGAACAGGAAGTTACAAGTTCTGTTACGAACAGAGAAAATCCGGTTTGCAGGGATAACATTGGTATCAAGTAATCTCATACTAGATTACATCTCATATATACATGCGGTAATGGAAACTCCAGAAGTTAAATTTTGCAGTCTTTTGAGTCATATTAATCAGTTTTTAATTACATCTGTCTTGTGTTCTACTGATGGAAACCAAGTAACACGGCATTATCAACGCATCGCAGTGGCGGCGCGGTCTAGGGCTGAAAAGTCTTCGCCCGCTCGAACACTGGGATCGTGGGTTCGAATCCCACTCGATTCATGGGTGTACGCCTGCTTTCATTCTGTGTTTGTGTGTATGTAACTGCCTTGCAGCTGGCTGATCCCCCGTCCAAGGAATCCTACCGATTCTTTAAAATTAAAACACTAAAGTGAAACAAACGTTTAACGGATACCCTATGCTCAAAGTCTGAGGAACAAGGATAGATAGATACATAGATAGATAGATAGATAGATAGATAGATAGATAGATAGATAGATAGATAGATAGATAGATAGATAGATAGATAGATCGCATGACTGAACTTTGCGGCCGAATGAGTGGTAAGCTATTTCTGCTTCTTCGCGAGGTCCCAATTTCAAGCCCCGGCCCGGAACACGGCCCTCTTTCTCTCTCCCTCTCTCTCTGATTCAGGTTCTCGTGGCTTTCCTCAGTCCCTGCAGAAAAGTGGTGGAATGTTATCTCAAATGAGGCTGCACGTCCTTACATACTCTTTCCAGTTCGTTCCAGTTCATGTTTTACTAATCGTATTTTTCAGCACTGCATAATCTGAGCTGTTAACGTTGTTGTTAAACCGTTGTTTAACTGTTAACTGTTGTTAAACAGTAAACAAATAAATGCATCGACACCGTGAATGAAGCTTGAGACGATGATTCAGATGTTGACCTTGACTTATGTGTATCTTTTTTATTGCTAGTGGGGTCCCTTGCACTGCGGCCACTTCTGGCCTATTGTGCCGGCTCCAGATGATAGGTGAGGGTGATTGTGGAGCAATTGCTGGAATGAAGATTGGCGGGGGAAACCGAAGTACTCGGAGAAAACCTGCCCCAGCGCCACTTTGTCTATCACAAATCCCACTTGACCAGAGCCGGGATCGAACCCGGGCCGCCGCGGTGGGAAGCCAGTAACTAACCGCTTGAGCTATAGCGCGACCCTGAGTTATGTGTGTAAGGTATTTCGGCAAGTTACAGTGATTTTCATTGTTTTTACCCTATAAGACATTTTCCCGGGTTCTTCCGCTTTCTTTCGTGTTGAAATATGAAACAAAATCCGTCAGTCGCTAAATATATCTTACTTTACTCTGTTTCCTGCTTACCGAGCGGGTTGAAATGCCGGTAACGTTTTAGACCTGTAATCAGATGGTACTCGGTTCAAATCTCGGCCGGGATATTGGCTCTCCTGGCAGGATTTACATGGCTTTCTCAGTCCCTCCAAAAATACTGGGATAGTACTCCTATTAAGTCAGGACCGCTTCCTTCAAAGTCCTTTCCAGTTCACTCTTGCCGCCAGTGCCAACAAAAACAAATTCAGCTCAGAGATCTGTTCGCTATCTAGATAAGCATGCGAATTTGTCGTGATATTCCGTGGACACGAGCATAACGTAGCTGGGATCAATGAGAGTCCCTCTTTACAGAACCAACTGGACATCAAAGCACGCAACGTCTAGGGCGGCTGTGGTGGTGGTAGCCGTAATTCTTTGTGTTTCGCCTTTGTGTTCTGCTTGCAAATAGTGTTTAGCGAACAGAGTTTTCAGCTGGGGTTTCGCATTGCGTAAGTGTTAGGTACGAAGCCTCGAGAGGGTCGTTGTAGGATATTTGAGCCCAGCAGCGATTTGTTATTTATGTATTTGTTTATGACTTGTATGACAATGTTTGCAGTAGCTTAGATTATGTCATGTATAGCACTGAATGATAGGAAAAACGACTAATGAACTGGAAATGCCTAAATTTCGAAGTACCCAGGCATTTGCATGGAGGGACTGAAGAAATTCACGAGAACCTGCAGTCAGGACAGCCGGTCTCTGGCCCGAGGTTTGGAACTGCCACGTCCCTAGTACGAATTAGAGGTGCTAACCACTCGACAGCGGGGTTCGGTGGAAACAGGAACACTTCTAAATATTTTAAAGTTAAATAATAAGTTGCGGTGTACATATGTAGTGATTAACACATAAGTGATGAAATAAGTTTCTGAATAATTAGACCTACCTCTTCAAATCCATTTGTTTCATTAGAATGCATTCCATGACAAAATTCAACAGGCTTTCACCCAAGCAGTTCGTATTACAAAGCGTGCGTTTGGAGCATTCACCGAAGAGGCGTCTACGAAGCTCGTGTGGATCGGCTGTTACCTATATAAACCAGCAATTATGCTGTAGGATTTCAAGTACTCACAGCAGTGGTTATGAAGAAGAGCATTGTCATGTATGAGGGGTTAGCGTGACTAATAATTATGTGTTGTCGTTTTGATGAATGTGTTTACTGGCACTTCTTTAAAATTACAGTCGATTATAACATATAAAGCATTGAACTCCTTCCAAGTGCTGTATGACATATCTCTCACTACTCTCTCACTGTCTCGCACTGAAATCTCTTCCTCTCCGAATTCACCAACTGCTAGGCTTCCCGCATAGAAGAAACAGGTCGAACAGTTCATTGCTCTCTGTTATTGTAGTTGTTGTCGCGGGAATGCCTTTGTTAACATTCGTTGCTGCAGGGACAAGTGTTTACCTAGCCGTTGCCTAGGAAATGATTATATTCGCTTCTGCTATTATTCCGGTTTCTTAGGCAGTGTTTACTTATTAGTTTCCTAGAAAACACAGTATCTTCTGGGATATAACGCCGTATCTTCCATTGAAAATCAACAGACTTTTCGGAGGAATATATTACCTCCATATTCAGGGCCGGAACGTAAGCCGTTGCTCTTCTTGCCACATATTTCACGATCGTTTCTTGCTTGGCTTATTCTTCGACCCTGAAGATGGTGGCGTTATGTTCCTCCGAAACGTCGGTAGACTTTCAACAGACTGCACAACGTTATGTCCTGGAAGATGGTCCTGTTCACTAATTATGCTAATCACAATGTGTGTGTGACATAACTGAAAGAGCCGTTGTTTGGCTACTGCACAATAAACACGCGGCGGCGTCACTAAACAAGAAGCCGTTGTTATAGAATGGCCGGTAAACAACGGTTAGAAACGGGTGTTTTCTGCAGGGACAGTACTGAGGTTGTACAGAGGGACCCCAAATATGTGGTACATCTTTATTTCAAATTTGAAAATATATGTAGACAACCTCTATAACGCAATTTAATAGAGGTTATCTACGAACGTTTCCGAAGTTGAACCAAAGATATCCAAATAAATTATTTAAGAAGATATTTTGTGCGTTGAAATGTGTATATACTTTTTTTAGACCTCACAGTATATGGATAGCTCAGCTTCTATCTCAAATCGCAGAAGCCTCTAAGGGCTGTGATGCGAGACCTTCCTTTCGCAACTGCTACAGAACACATCTGAGATGGGTTGAAGGACATTGGCTCTGATGCTATTAGCGTCAAACTAATCTCAGCCTCCCGTCGATCACCTGCAGAAGGATCATTCACAGTAAAACTTCCCCTCTTCCTCATAACCTTACCTAGGATATCAAAGTGCCAGGAGATATTCAAACTGACAAGCCTTTCCATATTGCAATCAGGGCAGAAGCTTACAAAGCTCTCACGCGATGTTACAACTGCCAGAATTTTGGTTATACCTGGACGGTAAACCGCCAGTCGTGAAGTAACTACAACGTTGACTATGTTACTTCTGTCTTTATACTACCGTAAACTAGCGCTACAATTATGATTAAGTTCTGTGAGATATTTTGTTTTTCAGGGCTGATGAAATAGAGCCCCGAAGTTCGAAGCTGGCTGCCACAACGACGTCCTGGTAACCATGGCCATCGGCTGCGGACTAAAATGCTCGAAGGGCGTGCTCCTCACTTTCAACCTTCTGTTCTGGGTAAGTCATTAATATCTTGGGAAAATACCCCGACATCTGTAACACTGAACGTAATAAATAAGATAAAATTACATCAGAATTGCGAATCCTTTTTATGAAATTTATTAATATATTTTAAGCTTAGGCCTTTTAATGCATATTTTCATGATTTATTTTCGTCCTAATGTTAATAAGTCCTTTTTTCAGACCATTTTTGACGATGCTGTTTGAATTACATAGGTTATATCGTGTCAGTAACTTGAGATATGATGATGACCATGAATGGCTTATAGGTAACTGTCTGGAACGAGGCGGCAATGGTCCGTTTGGCGATAAAGCCACTGACTTTCCCTTGAGGGACTGAGAAGAACCATTAACAAGCTCAGTTAAGATAACTGCAGCTGAGCTAAGAGTCCAACAGCCTTTTTTGTTGTAACTAATTCTTCTCTCAAGATACATTATTCATTATATTATATAGTTTCAGTTACTGATCCATCGCTAAGTAAGCTCCAATTTTTTTTAATTCGCTTAGTGGGGGGTGGAGTCCAATTGGGTCCACTCAGCACGGCGGCCACTGATTGGCCTATTGTAGCCTGCTCCGGGTGATTATGATGATGGATAATTTGGTGGAATGAAGATTGGCAAGGGAAACCGAAGTACTCAGAGAAAACCCGCCTCAGCGCTACTTTGTCCACCACAAATCCCACTTGACCAGACCCCGGGATCGAAACCGGGCCGCTGAGTTGGGAAGCCAGCGACAAACCGCTTGAGCTATGGTGCGGCGTAAGTAAGCTCCAAGATGTGTCATGTATTGGTGTATCATCATCTGTTTAAGCTAAAAGGTTTCCACGGAAAAAAATTGTAGGAAAATTATTCTAAAACAACTTTATTTTCTGTTTTTCTTTTATCGAATATAGTTTTATAGAACATAGTTTTCGTACAAATTTAATTATTGCTGTGCATTAAAGATTATAGCATGGAGGTGGGTTAGGATACCTCCACCGTAGCCCTGCGAGTCGTAGATGACGACGTAAAGGGCACCCGGTGCCTGGGGGTATAACTGGGCCACCCGTCACTGGAGGACATAAATACAGGGACTCGATCCTCCAGGTTGGGGGTAGGGCACAAGGCTGACGACCTTGCTGTATAATAAAACTATTGTTCCGAAATCCAAAGAAGTAAACTGGATAGTCTATATCTTGCCAGGAATAGATAAATCTGGCAGATTCCTCTAAGGAAGGTAATAGTTTAAAGATTTGGCGATGATGACGATGATGATGATGATGATGATGATGATGATGACGACGACGACGACGACAATACACTAAAGACTGACACGTGTCATGTCTATGCTAAGCATTTTGGAGCTGACGGATGCCATAACGGCTGAGAACGGCAGGCGATGAAGGTTGCATATTAAGTAAAGGAAAACCGGAAGGTACCATCAGTTATTTTTCTGTTCTACGAGCAGTAACGCACTTTAAAAGCTTTTTATCCCTTACGCTTTGCGCTCCCGAGGGACAACACAAATATAACACTGAGACAGCAGCAAGAAGGGTCTCCTCATTCCTTTCCGCTGATTCTAATGACAGGAATTTACTAGGTTCGTCACTGAGTAAGTGTTTTCATTTAAACTCTGTATCAATTTTCTTGTTGTATATTTGCTTCGCTCTGCTCTGATATGTGTAAAGGGATTCCTCTCCTGTTGTTAAAACAGCTGGAGCATAAAGCTAACAACTCTCTTTACCCAGTTCTGAGATTAAGAGCGGATCAAATTAAATTCTATTTCCTCTCACGTCTTTATGAAATGTACAACATGATTCTGACCGGTAAAGTATGTAGGACTGAGAAGTGTTCCTAACTGCTTCTGAAGTACTCGTACAATGAAAATTACAAAACATAGCACTATAAGTTTTTACTCCTGTTATACAGCTCTACTCTGGCAGCGGTGATGATTACAGTGCTGATGTTACGAGGGCGTTTGCGTCCCCAGTATCAGTCAGTAGTTATGCAAAAATGAACTGTTATCCGAACAGTACAATTTAATATTAATAAATGTATAATTTTTATTTGCTCCTTTCTCGTCCATCACACTAACAATATTGTGACATGTTGACCCCTACCTCCCCAGCTGCACGTAGCGGTAACGTAGCGCTCGCGTAATAGGCGAGTAATCACCCCGCATCCTGGTAGCTATGCAACGCACAACGCGCGGTGACGTCACGAGCGGAGCCGAAGTGAGCCGAGCGGAGCCGACGTTAGCCGAGTCCCCGCAACCTTGAAGCTATCCAAAGTGAGCCAACAGCGGTGACGTCACCGAGGGATATCGCGGTTGCTAGGCAGCAGTCAACAACTCCGGACAGCGTGGCTAGCAACACGGCACCAGACGACAATTGTCCGACCGAGGCTACATAAGGAGCAGCGAAGGCTATTCACAGCCAGTCCTGGAGCTACCTACGAGTCAGTCCTCGAGCTACCTCCGAGTTAGTTCCGAGTTATCCAGCAGTCAGTTGTATTCTGGAATTTGGAGTGTACTAATTGTGATTCTGCAGATAGCAGTAATCGTAAATCTGTAATTTGGGTGATTGCAAGAGCGGATGTGAAATAAAATTCGCTACATCAAATACCTCGTGAAGTTATTTGTCGCGTTATACGCCCGATACGCGACAATATTATAAAAAGTTAAACAGTTCCGTTCAGTGTGACTGGCGAAGATTTTTCTCATTTCAATTCTTCATGCTCTTACATATTTCGGTCTTTAAAGAGCATCATCAGAGGGACATCGATACAGTAATAGTAGCTTCCAACCGTATTGGTGTCCCTCTGATGATGGTCAGATGTATGGGCATGAAGAATTGAAACAAGAAAAATCTTCACCAGTCACACTGAACGGAGCTGTTTAACTTTTTATAATGTGTCGCTGATGTGATATCATTGTTAGGAATATTCACGCCCCAACAGAAGATAAAATGGATGACATAAAGGATAGATTCTATGAAGAACTAGAACATGTATTTGATAAATTCCCGAAGTACCCTATGAACATTTTGTTAGGAGATTTCAATGCCAAAGTAGGGAAGGAAGACATTTTCAAACCAAAGATTGGGAACGACAGTTTGCATAAAATTAGTAGTGATAATGGAGTTAGAGTAGTAAACTTTGCCACATCCAAAAATCTCTAGGTTTAGTCCATATATAGATAAAATTATTGGGGACCATCAGTCTGGGTTTCGACGTAACAGATCAGCTACAGATCAGATCTTTTGCATTCGTCAGATATTGGAGAAAAAATGAGAGTACAGTGAGACAGTACATCAGCTATTCATAGACTTGAAGAAAGCCTATGATTCAGTTAAGAGGGAAGTATTGTACAATATTCTGAGTTTGGGATACCCATGAAACTAATTAGGTTGATTAAAATGTGTTTAAACGAAACATATAGTAAAGTCTATGTAGGTAAACATTTGTCTGATAAATTTCCTATCAAGAATGGTCTAAAACAAGGAGATGCTTTATGGCCGCTCCTTTTCAACTTTTCTTTAGAATATGCCATTAGGAAGGTCCAGGGAAACCTGGTGGGATTGAAATTAAACGGGACACATCAGCTGTTAGCCTATGCCGATGATGTGAATCTACTGGGTGATAATGTAGATACCATAAAGAGAAACACACACAAACTTTAATTGACGCAAGTAAAGAGGTTGGTCTAGAAGTAAACACAGAGAAAACAAAGTATATGTTACTGTCTCGTCACCAAAATGCAGAGCAAAATCATGACATAAAGATAGGAAACAGATGTTTTGAAAATGATGCACAGTTCAGATATTTGGGGACAACGATAACAGATAGAAACCTGATTCAGGAGGAAATTAAGAGGCGATTGAACTCGGGTAATGCTTGCTACCATTCAGTCCAGAACCTTTTGTCTAATCGTCTGTTGCCCAAAAGCATAACAATTTGAATATACAAAACTATAATTATGCCTGTGGTTCTGTATGGGTGTGAAACTTGGTCTCTGAAATTAAGGGAGGAACATGGACTGAGGGTGTTTAAGAACAGGGTGTTGAGGAGAATATTTGGACCGAAGAGAGATGAAGGGACAGAAGGTTGGAGAAAACTGCACAGTGAGGAGCTTCATAACTTGTACTCTTCTCCAAGTATAATTAGAATGATCAAGTCAAGGAGGATGAGGTGTGCAGGTCATGTAGCACGAATGGGGGAGACTAGGAATGCGTATAGGACATTTGTGGGAAAGACAGAAGGAAAGAGATCTAGTGACTTGCGACTAGAACTCTCTCTAGAACTTATATCCTCTTTCACTTACTAGTCATGTGAATGTTCGAAGATTTATTTGTCTACCCCAAATGAAACAAGTTCACACCTGTTGCCTTTTCCTGAATCTCTTAATTCACATATTTTAACTGGCCTGCGTATGGCAGGTGATTATTAGCGAATGGACGGCATTTAAGTATTATGTTTCTGAGAGTGTCTTGTTTACCAGTGTCTTCTGCTACGCAGCTCTCCGGCGGTGTATTCCTCGTCGTGGGCATCTGGATAATCCTGGATCCGACAAAAACACATCTGTTTCATCTCACTTACACTGAAGACGTGGCTGCCGATCTCTTGCAGTACTTGGGCTACTGCTTGGTGGCCATAGGCTGTGTGATATTTCTTGTCGGCTTCTGCGGCTGTTGTGGCTCTCTGTATGAACGCCGGTCTGTGCTCATAACGGTGAGTTCTACCGGGATGAAGACACCTGAGTGAGTTCACTCGCGCTAATATAAGCGACTAGTATGCATTTTCTGGACGATCTTGCCCACTTAACAAGGTTAGCCAACAAAAAACGGCAAGAGTTAAAGTAACAAAACTACAGTTATGCCTGTTGTTTGTGTGTGCTGAAACTCGGTCTCTCCTTTTAAATGACCGTCATACATTGCGGATATATGAGACCAGGGGAGGCTGTAAAGAAATTGCCAACTGGAAAGCTTCATAATTTGTACTCTCTAATGAATATTACTGTTATGAAATTAAGAAATATGAGATGGTCGAACTACGTAGCAAACATGGTATCAGAAATTTATCCAAATTGTTGACTGGGAAACCTGAAGAAGAAAGACAACTTCGAAGATGTAAATGTAGGTTAGAGAGATAATATTAAAATGGATCTTAATGAATAAGATGAGAAAGTATGGACTGAATCCTCATGGCTCAAGTTAGGACCATTGACATACTGTTATGTACATGGTAATGAGCCTTCGGATGCCACAAGAGACTGGCAGACAGTTTTCTTGAGCAGATGAGTGCTGGGTCACCTGCTCCGTGGAGTTAGCTAGCTCGTTAGTTGTTTGTTCGTTTGCTGGTGAGCTGCTTAGTTAGTTACTTATTTATTATTTAGGTAGTTAGTTGGTTGGTTGGTTGGTTGGCTGACGGAAGATTACGTTGAGGTCTTCCCTTCCTCAGTCTTCACTGTTTAACAGATCGTTCAGAAAAATATAAAACAAATTATGAAGCTGTTCTAATGGCAGGAATGTGGATATGATAATTTGGTATTTCCGGGAGTGAAATATAATATACCTATCGTTTAATTTAAGTTTTTTTTTTAATTATGTTATTGAATTCTGAAATTATTTTCTTGAAGTCACAGAAGTGAAATTGGCTTCAAAATTTGTCGACCTTAATTGCTGCAATTAATTCACTGCTCTTTTCCAAGCGAGGTGGGAGCATAATTAAATCCTGCCTCGGGGTTCAGTACCCATAGTTACGTCATTGCTACTTCAGTATAAATTTTCGTTCGTGTTGCTGTATACGAGATGCATCTAGTCAATATACTAAAATAGTACAATAATAGTACAGCTGTACAATATGTCGTTGTTTTATCCTATTCTTCAATAGTTTTAGTCTTCTTTAAATGAAGAATATTAAAACCAGACTTAATTTTATTTTAGATGAATGGCACTTTAAACATAATCCATTTTATTTATATTTACAGATTATATATACATATAAAGTGATTCGTATAATCAGAATTGTGACGTTAAGCAGCTTGAGCGACAGGTTAATTAGAAATAAGTAATTACAGTTTATATACCGGATGACTCAAAATATTTTTTAAACTCTAAAAATACACGGCTCTTCAGATTAGAATGAAACCCATATAAACGTCATAGAAAATATTTGAATACATGTATGAGCATGTCCATTCAGTTCTGATGATCGGTTACACGGAAACATGTTTTCGGTTTTGGACATCATTCATCATCACAATATCCGCACTTTGTAAGTGTTCACACAGTTGAATTTATAAAATCCATGGCATGGTCACTGAATTCCACACATTCAGTTCCCTTACATTGTTTTTAACGAACGTATACATTTAGTGTACAACGACGAAAAGAACAGTTTAGGTTCCTGCAGTTAAAGCAAGAAATAATTGAAAACGTGTGGCCCAATTTACAAAAATATATCAAATTTCTAATCTACCTAGCGAAATTATTAGCCCAAGTCACAGGCGAAGAAAGTGGAAGCTTATACCAATTCCTATAACAAATGTGATTGGATTGTAAAATATACGTAACATTCAAAATGGAAAAGTTTTTCTCTGTACCGAATCAAGCGAACTGAATACAGTTTGTATACAAGAACTTATTGAACTGTTATAGCCTAGTCAGTATAGCGACGGGTTGGATTGCGGCCTTCGATTCGCGACTGGAGCGAGATATTGTTCTCTTCTCCGCAACGTCCGGACTGATTCTCGGGCCAACCCAGCCTCCTGTTCAGTCGGTACCGGGGAATCTTTCCCCCGGGCTTAGTGGCTGAAGCGTGAAACTGACTCCTCACCTCCACCTAGAGCTCAGATCAATAATGGTCGTGCTATACCTCCACTCCCACATTTGTCTTCATTGCGTGGTACTTAAGTAATTAAGCACAGGGATAACCTTGCCTTTTACAAATACTTATATTCCACACAGCTTATGTTACTTAATTTTGCGACCTGGGGGTCTGGAAAACGGAGAATTTATCTTCTCTAACTTGTATCAAGAAAATAAATTTCCCTGTGATTATTAGCATTTCGTGTGTTATATGAGGTTTGAGGTTCTTACAGCGACAAGGATTTAAGCTGCTATCTTCTGGATGTTGATATCGTGTAATCCTGTATGTTTCGGAGGAATTGGCTGCTTCAGTCCCTAGGGTGGGATTCCTGTTATAATTCCGCCCTGACGATGCCGACAATAGGTTCCTCCACAGCGGAAGTAACAATCTACCGTGTCAGAACCCAGAATACCACAGCCTAAGCTTCCATGTATTTGTTATGTAGTGGGAGCCGAGATAACTCAGTATGCAAACCAAATTGATACGGACTGAATGACAAGAGAGGTCGGAGTTCGAGCCCCGGGAATGTCAAGATTTTTTTTGCTCCAGGTCGTTCAGACCGACTCTAAAACCCACCCAGCATCTTATCAAGTGGGTACTGGGGACTCTTTTCGCGGGGGTAAAACGGCCGGGGTGTGAAGTTGACCATTCAGCTCGAACTAATGCCAAGGTCAAGAAAACATAGATTTATATTTCGACTCCCCCATACGTCTTCATGGCATTGTGCTTAATTAGTTAAGAACAAGGACAATTTTTATTGGTTGTGTAGTACAGGGTGGGGCGCAGAAACTTCCTTTTTGTGAAGACGCATTGTGAAGAGAGGGGAGGTCGCAGAATAGTGGGGATAGGCTCGGCGAACGCAGCAGTCGCGGAAGTTTCTGTCTAATACCCCTCAGTAGGAAACATGAGGTGAACGAGTGAGCAGCGTGCGTTTGCTGTCGAAGTCTCTTTTTCGAACAACCATTCCTACGTGGCGGTGCTATGGGTCCTATCATGTTTAACAATGTTAGCTTAACATCCAATACTGGTATCGTTCAAAATTTATTAAAATGGGAATAGCTGACGACAGAAACACTACTGTTACCAGAACCTCTCACTTGCAGAATCATTATTACCTCCAGTCAGCACATGCGGAGCCCTATCGGTGCCCAGTTACTTTAATCACATGCAGCATTACTATGATTTTACTGTATAGATTAACAAGGAAGTGTATTCTGTTCCAGTACTTTGTATTCTTATTTCTGTTGCTGTGTGCCGAGTTATCGGTTGCCGTCGCAACTCTGATCTACCGAGAAGACTTCCTCACGGGTCTGGAGAACCGGCTCTTGAACCGGTTCAGAAATCTCTACGGCAGAGACTCCAGTGTCTTCACTCAGGCCATAGACCAAGCACAGTATACAGTAAGTGGTTCATACCACCATGGTCCTAATTACGTTTCCTCGCAATTTTGGTTACTCTATATCTTACACAAGTATCTGCACGTTTATTTTCGAATTTGAAGTCGTTCCTTATATACTGAAATTGTCGAGCGGGGGGCAACCCAACTTAATAGGCATTTAACGGTAAATTGAGACAACGCCTTAAAATAGGCCAGGACCATTTACTTCTATAATTCTGGCAGTCCGCAGTCATTCTCCCATTCCAGGCTATACAATCCAAACCGTTATAAATAACATATTAAATAAATTCATAAACCCTGCTTACATATTTGTGGAGGTTTGACGCGAGATTTCTTCAGTTGTGTTAATTGTTTCTATTATTAAATCGTGCGTACGTAGTTTAACTAGGTATTAGATTTAAGTTAATCCTTATGTGTGTTTCTTTGTGCCCAAATCCTGTTCCAAGAACACTGGTGTGTCTCCTATAAGCCTTAGAAATGAAGAGTGCGCCTTGATATCCTGTATCGTGCAAGAAACATCACAGTATGAGCGTGGAGTCAGACCCAGAAAAAATTGAGGGAGACGGTTCATAAAATTCGTCATAATAAAAAATTTACCTTATTTATAATACTTTTTCGTAAATCCACCTTTGTTGGAAACTTCTTTCAAATTTTGAAAGATAGTAATTTCGCATTCTTTAATATTTGGGAACGTTTGAACTAAACCTGGGGTACTTAGATGGAAGATTGGTACGCAGTATGAAACAGTATGTTGGATGACATTCTTTTGTTTTGTCTGAATTAGGAGTTAAATATAGATTAATGTATATTCGTTCATGATGTGTATTTGTACCAACCGTTTTACAGTGAACACAATTTCACTTTTCTCCTCACTACATGTTTCGGCACTAATGTGCCATCTTCAGGTGTGGTTTTATTTACGTCAAACCATTGCACCGGTGCAACAGGACGCTAAAATATAACATTACGTATATTCATATGCAGTCGGGTTATTTCCCGGTTATTGCTTTTATTCTTTACTTCGCTTTTATTGTTAATACTTAATGCAGCCGGAGAATAATAGCACCCTCCCAACTATCCATAGTTCAAGTCTAGAAGAGAGCAAAATTTGCCATTCGCTGTCTCTACAATTAGCTCTTCTGCCATGTGCACTCTTACGCTGCGCCCCGTGCCGTAAAGGCAACTTCTCTGGCATATGCGTTAGGCTGGTAGTCTAACATTAATACGCCGATCTTTATAAGTTACAGAATGAATGTTAAGTACTCGTAGTGGAGTAACAATTTCAGGACAACTGGGAAGATATTGCACGTCACAGCTACTCACTCACTGTTAACGTCATGTGATGTCGGTAAATACACGTACCGCAGTAAAGTCACAAAAACAAAAACCCTCAGCACATAAATGGAGCCTAGATAAAAAAAAAACAAAGCATTGAAGAGGTTAAGGCGAACAGAGCAGGAACCTAATTATTATAAGAGCAGTAATTACAGAAGTAATGGCGTGAGAGAAGTAAATATAATCACACTTTCAATAAACGGCTTTGTATTTTAAGCACTACTAATATCAGTGCTTTTTGAATTGAATTGAATTGAATTGAATTTATTTGCATTTCATAGATCCTAAGTAGGTTAATACCTCTGGATATAGAACAAGGTTGACTGTCGCATTGATTATAATACCTAAATGTGCAGTCGACTCTCCTACAGATAGCACCTGCTTTTGTAAGTAATTTCACCTCTTTATGTAGCTTAATTTGTCTTAATTTTCTTGTAATTTCCAAACCAGGCAATTCCATTCCCTTTTGCATTGAACGATGGACTTCATGTTGTTAACCTGTAATTTTAAGGTCCTGTGCTACATGGGTTTGCCCATAAGAAATGTAATTAGAGGATAATAAAACAAATAATTTGGAATTTATTTTGCACGCACGCACGCAGCACGCAGCAGTGTAGTTGATTGAGGGACTATGCTACAAAGCAGAAGGTCGCGGGTTCGATTCCCGATAAGGTCATAGGATTTGTCAGTTTACCTAATCTTTACAGCCGTACTATGGCCCTGGGGTCGACTCAACCTCTAACAGAAATGAGTACCAGGAATCTTCCTTAAGGTAAAGGGCGGCCAGTGTGTAAGGCTGACAACTTCACCGCCATTTGTGAGCTGATTGTCTAGAAAATGTGTGAGTCTCGACGTCTCACAAGCCAATGCTCCTCCACGGTTTGTTACAGGAATAACTTCACTTTTTCTTTGGTGCTTCTAATTTTATGATTTCTTACAGTTCAATTGCTGTGGTATCCTCTCAGATGCTGATTACGTCAACACAAAATGGAGAAATGAAAGTGTGGGAATTTCTAATCGTTCCAGAATCAATGTGCCTCTTACATGCTGCACACTAGCAAACCCTGATGTGAGTGCAAATTATGTTTATGTAAATGTATTATGCAAACTTAGTTTGTTCTATTTATGGTATATGTGTGTCAGCATCTTGCGTTTTAACATTCATATTTTATTCTGTTTTCAAACAGCATGATAATTCTCTGATGAGCATTCAGATCTAATAAGCTGACTGATTTTTAATATTAACATTCATGTTTACTATGATGAGTAATGTAAATTAGCTCACTAAATAGATTCTTAATTACATATATTTCCATGAGTGTTGAGCCATTTAATTTTAATTATTCTAGAAACAGTATTTGCTTTAATGTTATTATATATGTAACTGCTCTCAGTTCTGTAAGAATTATCTCCACTTCTAAATTTCTGATCTCAGTTTGTGGATCCAAGTTCAGTTCATGATCATGTTCTTCAGGAACAAATTTTTCTCTTCCAGTTGCATTTAATATCAGTGCGGTTAATAATTTAAACTCCAATTTGGGTTAAGTTTTGAAACAGAATCTTCAGATAACTAATAAATAAGATGTATGTACTTGTATTGTCATGTCTGGAAGAAATTTTGTTCGTGTCTGCTGAAAACTAAAGCTTAAATTGGCGGAAGTAAAAGAAATAGCTGGCTGTAATGACAACTTAAAATTTCATCATGACAAAAGATAAAATCATTCTCAGGTAACCTGCCACATCATTTCGGATCAGAAGCCCAAAGTTTCAGAAAATTTCTCTGGCTCCATTTCCAGGGAATGATGATTAAATACTGTGGGTCATGTACTCATACATATAAGAGCATGGCAACACCAGATATGTCACTAAACTAGCTTTCCAGTTAAGAACAATGAGCTCATAGCTGCTGAGATGAATTTTCACTGATTCCAACCACAATCCTTCATACACCATGATGTGTATGTATGTAAGTACATATACATGTGTATGTGAGGAAGGGGGAGAGAAAGGGAGGGGAGTGGGAAAGTGAAGGGAGGGGGCAAGGGAGGAGAGAGATATTAATGCTGCTTTTTCATCACATCATTCCCTGTAACAGCGGGAGAGATGGTCTTCAGATCTACAGACGTCACCTTAATTGATGAGTCTGGTTGCCCTGGAAGATGCTGGTACCCTTGAATTTCTTTATATATATATATATATATCAGCCGAATTGCAGACTTTGTGTCTGTTCATCCTGTATCCCATAATTAGTTGCTTTTCTGTAATATTAATAAAAGAGTACCTCTCTACAAAAAGAATTTTTCTAGACATTTGTAACATATCATAATGGATCTGATCAATGCATTGCCAGGCAACAGCTCAGTAAACACAGTACAACACACAACAATAGAGGAAGCTGTGTTTTCTGTAGATCCTACCAATGCACTGCTAGACTGGCTGGATAGCGATCATGTGATATGTGTTTAATGTAGATCCATGTCCGTTCCGTGACTAAATAATTAGAGCCATGAGCTGTAAGTTCAGAGCGAACTGGAACTAGGAGCACAGAAGAGTACAAGAGTTCAGCCTGTGAAGTTTTAACGTGTGATTTGAAGACTTAATGTGTGCTGTAGTACAGTGATATTGAGAGTGTGTGATTTAGTGAGAATTTTGTAGTTCTGTGTTATAAATCTGCGAAGACTAGTACACATAGACCAAAGGAATATGTGTGGAGGGACTGCAAATTTTGTAGAGCAGCAACAGTGTAATAATTAATTGTAGTTACGACCCATAGGTTTCTTAATGAATCCAATTACCAATTTGAACCTAATTTTTATTTATCCATATGCATGCAAATATAGCAGATAGTGAAATTTCAAGTAATATATATACAGAGAGAGAGAGAGAGAGAGTGCACGCACATGCATTAGATGCAAATGCGTGTACAAGAGTGTGTGTGTGAGTGCGTGCGCGTATACGCGCGAGCGTGTGTGTGTGTGTGTGTGTGTGTGTGTGCACACAAGTATGTGTGTGCTTGCGTGTTGGGATTGTGCACACTTGCACACTATATGGATCTAAATTTAAAGATAGCAGACACAAGAGCCAACGATTTTACCTTCACAGGGAAAATTATGGATTTTTAAAACAGATTTTAATAAAATTTAAAGCAACTTATATGAGACCATACTACTATATCTTACAAGTTAGTGAAGATTTGCTAACATGTTACTGCCTTTTTTAATTCTCATAGTATTTCAATTGAATATCAAGTGCTGTCTTATTGTTCACTTGTTCCTTTACTCCATCCTGTTTGCCATTTAGGTTTCCAATGCTGGAAGTCCAATTATTGTAGTGTCAAGATTTTTCACCGGAACTGTAAGTAATTAACTTACAAAGTTATGTGCAGTCCCAGAGTTATCATAGCATGATTATGATGGCACATATGCCTGTTCTGCATTTTTGTTGTGCAAATGTAAAGATTTCTTTCAACAACAGTTCTCAGAAACAAAGCAGTAGATATTTTTCAGTTCCCAGTTATTTATCTGACCTAATGCCCAGTTCCCAAATGACATTCTTATTTACATAATCAAAAATAACATTTCCGTGCATGAAATGAGATAGCATTTGTTGAATTGGTTGAAATATTAAATGACAACAGATTCAAATAATATGTGACTGTAGTGTCATTTGACAACCTGTATGTTAAAATATTTTGCAATAAATTTATCAAAACTGATTGTTTTAAAACAAAACATAATGCATAAAACATTTATTATTTAATTCAATTTGTGTTTATTTATGTGCAAACATAACAGCAAAGTGGCCAATCACAAAGTTAGCATGAGTACACAGAAATACACAAAAATAATTAAAGAGCAGAATACAAAATATGACGGTCTATATAATAGCAATAAATTAATATCAATTCCAAGAAAAATTGAAGTTATTTTAACAGGGGANCAAAATTTATGTTGTGACATATCATTTACTTGTTTCTCATACCAAATTTCACGAAAATCAAATGAGGGTTGAATTGAAAAGCAGCAAACATGCATATGACAGGAAAATTTTCAGAATGAAATGCATGTAGTAGGGTCTATTATTCTGTACCATAAACCTTTCTGTTTTTTAAAAAATGTAGAGCAATAATATAATATCAAACACTGTGTACAGAACAGGAATAATGTTTTGAGTTTCATATTCTTCTCCCTATTATTGACATATCCTGATTGATGACTTCTCTCATTGCTTAGGAAGTACTTTCTCATTAGCCTGTAGATAGGGTGACCAACTTAAATCCATGTGTCCTCTACTGGGATATTGTCTCATCTACAGGCTGTAGATGAGACAATATCCCAGTAGAGGACACAGAATTGTACTTTCCCCTTGGGCAAGTTCAGAGCGTTTTATGATTTATTTGTTTCTGCAGTGTTATGGATATTTGGGATGGCGCTGTTATGAATGTGTTTTCATTTTATGGTTGTGTTTATATACGTATTTTTAGTATGACTGTATTTCTATGATAATTTATTGTGTTGCTGTTTTCTCAAAGCATAATTTAGTTCAATTTTAAAGTACTATTTGCTGCATATTTTTTTATACAGAGTGTAAACATGGCACAGTTAACTCTGTTTGCAACCTTTTGATCCATCATCATCATCATCATCATCATCAAGTTCCCAGGAAATGCTGATTGGTATCTTTCGGATCTTACAGTTTGTGATCAAAATAACAGTTATTTAGTTTATAGTGTTTTGTGTGTGTGTGTTGTTGTCATTGTCATTGTTGTTGTTGTCGTCATTATCATTCTCGCAGCCACTGACGCTGTTGATATTGATGATGATTGTGGTTTCCATCATCACAATTATCACTGTTGTCATTGTTGTCATCATTGTTATATTTGTTTCTAAGAGTTATCTTTTCAGAAGTCAATTAATTTACCATTTTCCCTCATATTTAACACTTGAAGCACTGTGCAATATTAGTGATTCAAAAGTCTGTTAACTGTAGTAAAGAGCATTAATATTTAAGACTGCTTATATGTCTTATGTAGGAATGCAACATTTATCACAAGAATTATTTGATCATTCATATTAATTAGAAAAATGAAAAGCATATTTATGTGGTAATATAATGGGTCAGTATGACCTAAAGTTAAATATGCAGACAACTTTCAGTCTATTTTCTTTTCACCCAGGTTCATCTCATATTTTGGGTGTGAAAAATATAGAAAGAAGACCAAATGAAATAATTCTAGGTTAGTTTATGAACTGAGAGTAAAAAAAAAATGCATCAAAGAACTGTTCTTTGCATACAACTGTCACAGTTCACGTTTCTCCTTGCACATAATGAGTCCCTATCCAGGCCCATGAATTTATGTAAAATATTAATGGAAACTGCTATGTGAAATTAGATGGAGTTCAATATATCTTACACACTGTTCTCCCTTTCAAAACATTGAGAATTAGACACTGAGACAGCATAATAATGATTATTTTTAAAACATTTATTAGTTGCTAGGAATTGTGACCACAATATTTTGCGTCTCTGGCTCAAACATTTCTCCAGAACTCTATTTTTGTAACCTAAAAAGTACTGCACTTTCTGAATTTCTGGCATAGTTTTTGTATATGCTGTGCACCAACTGAAATTAAAGAAATGTTTTTTATTTGATCCATGGTTTTAAGTCCCACTGCTATAAGACTACTATAACATGTTGAAATCTCTGAAATGAAATTTCCATTCATGAAACTTCATACTTCCTAATATGGAAAAGAAACTGGACTTTGAAAGCTTCTGGGATTGAACTCATGAACAACATAGGAAATTTAGGAACAAATTGTTCAATCTGCTTGAAATTTGTGGCAGACTGTTAAAAAATTTTACCTGTACTATAAATAATTTTCTAGATCTCACTGTAGAAACCTTGACGTGTTGTAAATTTAAGGCCACAGCAATCAATAATGCCCATAGAATTATGTCCATAATAAAGTAATCATGGCCAGTGTTAAAACAGGTGGAGGAATCCTGGCAGCATCCTCAACCAAAGGATGAAACGGCATGTCAGGATACTGAAGTAAATAAAAACCAGATGGCAAGGCACAAAAAGGTAGGCTTTACATCTTTAGTTTCTTCTTCTTGCTTTAATACTCCACTTTCCTGGACATCAACAATCAGTATTGCTCAGGAACAGTATCATATCATCACCTTCTCGAATTAGAAAGTATACGTGTAATTACAAGCCATTTTTTGTAGGTCCGTATGTATGCATGCATGTAGGCTTGCATAATTAACGTTTGTTGCTCATATTTGGGATTCCTCATATCAGTCCTTTGTGAAAAGCATGGTCAAAAATGCCAAGCTATATATTGAGCCATATCAGAATTTTCCATTCACTTTTGATTATTCCTGAAGTTCATTTTATTTATATATTCTCCGGTGATAAATTCTCCACTGCTCAACTGTAATATTCAAGAAATTCTTTATCAGCATCATTCCATTGTAGAATGAACACATTTCTACTTTTTAATTACTTGCCTCCTATAGTTAACATTATATTGTGTTTATTCATGCTTGCATTCCTGATCTGTAGAAGGAATCTCTCTTTGTACCAATTCATAAAAAGGATGATATTCACTGTAGTAATTATTATGGCATATCACTGCTATCAACTTCATACAAAATTTTATCCAACATCCTTCTCTCAAGGTTAAGTCCATACATAGATGAAATAATTGGGGATCATCAGTGTGGGTTTTGGTGGAACAGATCTACTACTGATCATATACTTTTCATTGGCCAGAGACTGGAGAAAAAGTGGGAGTGCAATCAGACAGTACATTAACTATTCATAGACTTCAAGAAAGTCTAGATTCAATCATGAGGGAAGTACTGTACAATATTCTCACAGAGTCTGAGACGCCTGAAACTACGTAGGCTGATTAAAATGTGTTTAAACAAAACGTATATTAAAGTTCATGTAAGTAAATATTAGTCTGAAAATGTTCCTATCCAAAATGGTCTAAAATAAGGAGACGCTTTATCACCACTGATTTTCAAATTTACTTTAGAATGTGCTATTAGGAAAATCCAGAAAAACCAGGTGGGACTGATATTAAATGGGACATATCAGCTGCTGGTCTATGCTGATGTTATGAATGCAGGGCAAAATCATGGCATAAAGATAGCTAACAGATAGGATCTAAAAGTTTGTGAACATGGTGCATTAGTTTTAGATAAAAGCAGGACAATGAATAATATCTAGAAACATAAAATTTATAACTAACAGATATTTAAAATATGACACAGTTGAAATACTTTGTAATAACAGTAACAAATCAGAACTTGATTCAGGAGGGTATTAAGAGGAGACTGAATCTGAGTAATGCTTGCTACTATTCATTCAGACAATTTTGTCTTCTAATCTGCATCTTGAAACATAAAAATTAGAATATACGAAACGATAATTTGTCTGTGGTTCTCCATGGGTGTGAAATTTGGTCTCTGATATTAAGGAAAGAACATAGACAGTGTTTGAAAACAGGGTGCTGAGGTGAATATCTGAACTGAAGAGAGAAGATGTGATGGGAGGTTTGAGAAAACTTCATAATAAGGGGCTTCACAACTTTTACTCTTTGCTAAGTATAACTAGAATGATCAAGTCCAGGAGGATCGGATAGACATGGTAGGTAGAATGCATGGGAAGAAAAGGAATGGACATAGGATATTGATGGGAAAACCAGAAGGAAAGAGACAACTAGGAAGACCAAGACATAGGTTGGTGTATAATATTAAAATGGATCTTTGAGAGGTAGGATAGGGTGGTGTGGATTGGATAGGGACCAGTAGAGGGTTCTTCTGAACATGGTAATGAATCTTCATGTTCTGTAAATTATTGGGAAGTTCTTGAGTAGCTTCCTAATTGGCGGCTTCTCAAGAAGACAACAGCTCCATGAATTTAGTTATTATGCATGCATTATTGTTCATAATAAAGCTAAATGTAACATATACCATTCCAGTGGAGAAGGCAACATGATCACATTTTGTGAAATAACATTTTCTACGACATTTTCTCTCATTGAATTGGCAGGATACTATACTTAGCACTGTACTGTGTGTGAATTTGTGAGTGCAGGCATGGAGACTCCAAATGAAAAAGGAAATCATTGCATAACTAGTAACTATTTTCTGTTTTCATTTCCTTCTAATGATCTAGTTCATCTTGAATAGTACTGTTTTGTTCTGCTCATAGTTTGTGCAGAGTAATCTCATAGTACACACTAGCACTAAAACTTAAATGGAGTACAAATATCAAACAGAAATGAAAATGATGAGTTACCATTTCAGGGGTGTTTAGAAGACCTGGAGAAGTGGTTCAAGGAAGATACAACATTACTTATTGGTCTTGGTATTGGAATAGCTTTCTTCCACGTGAGTAAATGCTCATTTACATTTACATTTTTTTATGACAATTGCATGTTTAAATTTATAGCCATGTAATGTCTAGCAAACTGTTGTTGAACTAACTTGCAATCTGTTGTTATGGGACAAAGTATGGAGATATCTGATACAACAGTTCATTCTTTGTTGTTTTTCAGACCTTATTGGTCTTCATGTTCATCTATATCAGGCACAAACCACTGTCGCTAATATAATCACACTGCAATTTTACAGCGAATTACATTATTTCTCCTTGTATCTCATTAAATTTTTGTCATATTGTAAAATGTTTCAGTTAACAATTATAAATCTTCAACTATCATATTAAGTGAATTGCTTGAGATTGTGGAATGGCGAATCCTCATATTGCAGACGGAAGTAGTGGCCTCCAGACGGGCAGGAGGGTGGTAGCTACGGACATATTGAATAATCAGTCACAAATAGGTGACAATGATGGTTCGTTGTGCTTTGAGGTTTGGACATAAGACTAAAAGTACTCACTATAAAGAAAATACTATCATGTTAAAAAATGTTATGTAGGGTCTGGGTCTTGGATGGATTCTTCGAAATGAACAAAACAATGGAATATGGACATCAGATGTGGCATATGAAATGGAATAAGACTCTGTAGGGCAGGTTCATTGAAAACAGTAGCAAAAGAATTAGCAAAGTATAATTTAGATTCAATGGGAGAGCAGGAGATAGGATGGGGCAGGGGTGGCACTGAATCTGCAGGTAATTATAAATTTTCTCTGAGAATGAGAGTCATGTATGAGAGATGGTATTTTTCATGCATGATGTAATAGTAATAAGTTAGAGTGGTAAATTTTGCCACATACAAAAATTATCAGAAGTACAGTGTTTCCACACAGCAAAATTGTAGCCAGTATTCTTCCCTTAAGCTTAACTCTGTATGTAGATGAAATTACTGGGGATCATCATTGTATATTCAGAAGTAATAGATCACCTACTGATCAGGTCTCTTGCATTCATCAGAGAGTGGTGAAAATGTGAATACAGTGGGACACCACATTAAATGTTGTCGCGTATTGGGCGTATAACGCGACAAATAACTTCACGCCGTATTTGATATAGCGAATTTTATTTCACATTCGCACTTACAATCACCCAAATTACAGATTCACAATTACTGCTATCTGCAGTATCACAAATACTACACTCCAGATGCCACAATACAACTGACTGGTTGCTGGCTAACTCGGAACTAACTCGGAGGTAGCTCGAGGACTGGTTCGGAGGTAGCTCCAGGACTGACTGACTGACTGTGAATAGCCTTCGCTGCTCCTTATGTAGCCTTGATCGGACAATTGTCGTCTGGTGCCTTGTTGCTAGCCACGCTGTCCGGAGTTGTTGACTGCTGCCTAGCAACCGCGATATCCCTCGGTGACGTCACCGCTGTTGATTCGCTTTGCATAGCTTCATGGTCGCGGGGACTCGGCTAACGTCGGCTCCGCTCGGCTCACTTCGGCTCCGCTCGTGACGTCACCGCGCGTTGCGCGTTGCATAGCTACCAGGATGCGGGATGATTACTCGCCTATTACGCGAGCGCTATGTTACCGCTACGTGCAGCTGGGGAGGTAGGGGCCAAAATGTCACAATATGTTGAATCTGAGGATCTCACTATGATGAATATGAACAGTGTGATCTTCAGAGTTCAATGTCATGTAGCTGACTTGAAGTCCACTATCTTGGTCTGTGCTGATGATGTTATTGGGCGAAAACATAAAATACATAAAGAAAACCCCACAAGCACTAGCAGACACTAGTAAATTGATTGGTCTGGAAGTGAACACAGGGAAAATTAGTTATATGCTGATGTTGCCTGAATGCTGACCAAAATCACAATATAAAGAAAGCTGACAGAACATTTAAAAATATGGTTAATTTCAGATGTTTGGGAATATTGTTAACAAACAACAATTACATTCATGATGAAATTAAAAACAAATTAAATTTGGGGAATTATTTGCTACCATTCAGCTTAGAACTTTTCATCTTCACACCTGCTATCTGAAAGCACAGAAATTTAAATACACAATACTATAATTGTGGCTGTAATTTTTCATGGATGTCAAACATGGTCTCTCACCACAATAGGAACAACATAAATGAGGGTGTCTGAGAACAGGGTGCATCTTGGCACATAATCAAGTTCACAGAATCCATTTCTTGTTATCCAGTTATGTAACAGCTACCTTTCATTCAGATATATAAATAAACTAATGTGTATGATTTTAATTTTTGTATAAATGACATCAGTATATAAAGTCTTATCAGATGATATTCCCACCTCCTCCTCCCACTCATTTTACCATTTGATTTATCATTTTGACATTATTACCAATCATGTATATGATAATTAATGAAAACTGACAAATAATAAGATTATCAATCTATGTTTCTTAATGTTCCAGATGATTGGGATGATACTTTCTATTGGTTTGTGTCGAAATATTGGAGATGGATTGGCACAAGGGCATTGAGGACATAACAAAAGTGACATCTTCAGAGCAGAGAGTATCTTAACTGTCAAAAAAATATCATTCTATTCTAATAACTGCCAGTGTTCTGTGTGTGAATGGCTGTTCAATTATGAACCCAAATAGCTGTGATGTAACTGGACAAGTGTTCCCCTGTTGCAAAGCAAAGTACATACTCAGTACATTTGAAAAGGTTCATTAGAGTAAGATCCACCAGTATATTTTTGTCAGTCATCATGATTGTACATAAAAAAGTAAAGAAAAAATAATGTAATTTTAAATGTCATGGTAAGGGAGATCAATAAAAGATCCAAACTGCTACTATATTATTTAACGCCAGTTTATTTATAGAGTTGTGATTTATGTAATCCATATTTTGCTCATGCTTTTGAAGACATGTAACAAAGTGGAGGTAAAGCTCCGTGTATTCTTAGCCTCGACACAGGATGGATATTAATGACTAATGCCATAATTTTAAGCTCATTCAATTGTTAGGCTATGGTATAATTTGTAAAAGTGAACAAAATATGATGTATGATTTGTTATGATAAATATGTTGCAAAGTAGGGTTGAAACTTGTTCCTTTTACTCCTCAAAATGTTTGTACAAATTCTAAATGAGGTGTCGTTTCCAAATATTCTATCCAGGTATATTTACATACTTAACCCATGCGGTACTTACATTGTTGAGCTACGTGTCTATAGTTAATACAAATTTTTTGCTATATCTATACATGATTTAGAATTATCAGCAAAACCAGAATTCAGTGATAAGTTACAAAACTGAGCTAGAATGATAGGTCTAATAAACATAAATATAACTAATTGGAAATGAGAGATCCATATATGCAAATATCATATATAAAATAATGCCTACATTTTCCTCAATTTATAATACACCAGCAAATTACATTTTGTGGAATACTCGGCCAATCAGAATGCCAAACTAGAAGAAATGAACACCTTGCCAAAGGCACAGATGTAGGCCATGGTTTGCATATTTTGACATGGGATATGCTACTGATGTAAGCATAGAATTCTGAACAAATGATCATGCTTCTGTTCAGTGCATTTCAATAGCATCCTGAAATCTGAACAATAATATATTATGGTACAGAGGATTAAAAATGGATAGATATTGGCTGCCAGAGGCCTAGGCTGCAGGTGTGAGCACAGAAAAGGAGCAGATGAAGCAAGACTTAATGGTACATTCATGAACATTTAGGATATAACCATTTGTGTGAGATGAATTAAATAATGATTGTTTTTTACAGGATTGTAACATTTTGGTAAGATTTGTGTGTGTGACAATAATTTTTCATTGATGTATGACATTGGGGATCAGTCAAAATAAACTGCACACTGATCATCTCTGATCACAGTACGCAGCTCTCATTTCAAGAAAGAATTCCAGTGCACATGACCATGATATATGAGGTAAACAACAGTGGTACCTGATCTACATACTATATCTCTTCTGCAAGTGAAGTAATGAATGCTTAAGGGAGAAAAATGGAGCCATTATTCTATATTGAACACAGGGGTGATGTGTTTTCTTAAACATGCTATGCAGTTTTCTACTCCCTTCCAGTTTCACTTTTAGCCTAATTAGCCTACTGTTTTGTTGCCTAGAATATTATCTTTTCACATTTGCATCAACAAAATATTAAGCAGCTAAGCACAAATTAATTTCTTTAATTTAAATCTGGATTACAGTTGTGCTGCAAACAAGGTTTTTGATGAAATACAAATAAAGAGAGTGATCTACAAATGCATATGAAACAAAGAAATTTGCTTCTTATGAAAAAATCTAGTATTTTCATTTGTTGATTTAAGTGGTTATGAATTTTCATATGTGTGTCAAGAAGTTTCGCAGTTAATATGCTACATGTTACAATATGGCTATTAACCGTTAACTAATCATTATACATATACCTTTGCTAAAGTGTAAAATAAGTGTGTGTGTTTTAAAGAACAGTATTGGGAGGCTGATGAAGACCATGTAAGTTCGAAACATGTAACTCATATATTATTATAATTAATTGATAATGTACATAGATAATATGTAATAATATTTTTCTTGTGATATTGATATTTATGTACTGTAATCAATAGGTTTGCATACACATTCACAAAACCAAAGTTCATGGTTCAGTATACATAGTACTTGTTTCATTTTTGGAAATTTCTATATTCAGATCTTGCCCCACGTATTGTCTATTCTGCCTGAGTTTTTCAATGATTACATCTGTCCCTTTTATATTTTTCCAATCTGTTATTTGCTATTCAGGTTATCGTTTGATGTAATGTAGTCTGTGCTACTGACAGCATCATTAAATGGAACACAGACAAGGAAAAATAATGTTCAAACTTCAGTAATTAAGAGAGGGACCACTGTGAACAATTTCATGCATTGCTGCAGCAGTAGAGCATCTATAGAAAAGTAAATGATATTGTTTCATATTAAGACCCCTATTTGGGGCCGTGCCATAGCTCAAGCAGTTAGTCACTGGTTTCCCACCACGCCGGCCCAGGTTCGATCCTGGGTCTGGTCAAGTGGGATTTATGGTGGACAAAGTGTTGCTAGGGCAGGTTTTCTCCGAGTACTTCGTTTCCCCTGCCAATCTTCATTCCACCAATTGCCCCACAATCACCCTCACCTATCATCTGGGGCCGGTACAATAGGCCAGAAGTGGCCACAGTGCAAGGGACTTAGTTCCACCCCACTAGCAATAAAGAGAAAGACCCTTATTTCTTATTTATCTAATTCTTTACCATTTCATTAAATGGGTATGTGCCCAGTTTTCCTACTGGATTCCAAAACACCCAGAATGAGAGGGGGGGGGGGGTTTGCATCTGTGTATGTCCCTAAAAAATCAAAATCGACCCCATTATCTTTAGTGGACCAAAAAATATCCCAATATTTTGCTGTTTCCTGTTACTAAGTCCATATGTTTGTCTCTTCTGTGTTCCTGTCATAGACATAAGAAACATTGGCGGAGCACTAAGCAATGGGCATTGGAGCTGCCGTGGTGGGCGCTGATTGGGTAGTGCTTGCTTCACTGTGGGAATCCTGTTAGGCAAATCTCCTCCTTCATCTGCATACTGCAAGACTTGGAAATATTGCAACAACAGACCCATTTGGTTAATTTTTTCTCAATCCGTCAGTTCTCTGGACACCCACCATGTGCACACTTTTCGGAACTTCAAATGATCATGCATTATGCTGTGCGTTAAACCATGGAAACACCCTAGTGTAGTTGCAACACTGACTATCGTTACCCTCCTGTCAGCTGGAATCAACTCGTCCACCCACTGAACAGTTTCTTCTGTCACAATTGCGAAAGGGCGACCTGGTTGGGCATCATCTGTGACTTTCGAACGTCCTTGAGAGAATTCTCGAGCCAGTTGTGAACCGTTTATACGATAAACAATTCCCACCATAAACAGGAAACATTCCTTTATGTATATCCTTTGCATTGAGCCCTTTTGCCCACAAGAAACGCACAGCAGAACGCTGCTCTTCGATAGCACACTCCTCAAGCACGGTCGCCATTTTGACTACTGAAACCAGCCTCTGAATGTTAGCATGCATGTCTGCTACCTAGGCTGTCATGAAGCTGGACTGTGCTGCTACCTAGTGATGCACATAAAAAACCTATTATGTCCATTACAGATGTTTTACTTCCATTTGTGACCTATTTACTTACTCTCCCTCAGAGTAATACTGGTATACAATTATCTGAGTAAAATGAACTCTACAAACGAACTGTCTGGTAGCAGGTATTAAATATTTCTGATGGAAAATTCACATTATATAAAACATGGATATGAAAAGATGTACTCCAACTACCATTTTAATACATTGTAACGTGTTTGGAATAGGCACTTCAATGGTAACGCAATAACAGCGAGCCATTGCGTAGACAATGCTGAAACAATGAATGCGTTTCCCTAGAGATGAACAACAGAAGGTCCGTTGAGTAACAACAGGTGAGACGAAACTCGTTACCAGCATATAAAGAGCATTCCCGAAGAAACGGATTGCCAAACACGTGAGATTGAACCTTGGTGAGAGGTGTCCTCTACTGAGTCCGCAGAACACCTACATAAGCCAAGAGCCACAGACAGCAACAACACAGTTGGAACCTAGTCGCCATACAGCACGGTTGGAAGATATCCACCGTCAGAATACAGTTGAAGTGATAGCAATTGTAAGGTGTGTAAGATTGAGTGTCCAATAAAGATTTGCTGAATCCGAGACCCACATAAAGTTATTTGTCGCGTGACATACCCAACACATTACAATATTATTGCATTTTATCTTTACTTATAACAATTAATTGTACTATAGATATTGCAGTACAAGCCAGAAATAGTTATTATTGAATTTTTTTAAATATTCATAGCATTAAAAAGTGTTCCAGGTACAACTGATTATGAAATGAACACATGTGAGAAATTATGTTCAACTTTCTACCTGAATATCTCTATCAATTAAACACCTGAATAAACTTTGGTTGCATTTGGTACTGAAGTTCAAAACTAATAGCTGTTAGGTGAATCTAATTATATTCAATACAATCTCTGTTCTTTATTAAGCTCCTGTAACTACTGTCTGTTATCTTGAAAGCCACCCATGGCAGAAAAATGTTTATTTAACATGAAAGGTAAATTTCATTAAAATTTACAATGACTTACTCCATTCTGAATTCTAATTGAGAAACTAATGTTTGCACATAATACTATGGCATAACCTTACAATTTTTCAGTATTTTATGACTTGCAACGGTTCTTCTGACAATTTGTTAAAAAATTAAGAGCCAAACTAAAAATTATATTAAGGCAAGAAAATCATTCTCAATTCATTGGACACAAGATGCTACACGCATGTAATATGATAGGCAGGGTTCCATTTCAAGTTACCTTGGGCTTCAGAAAACCAAGTTCCCCTCTCCCACATATACACAAGCTGCAAATTTAAATATCAATAAAAGTTCAGTAAAGAAATTTCATTTTTGTCTGATTCTGGTCTGAAGAAGCAATAATTGGGTAGTAAGGGAAACAAAGACAAAAGTAACTGATGTGGCAACATCAACTGAACTGAAAACAATCCCATAACATCACATGATGGTGCTAGAAATTTTCATGCTATATGATATAATGTCTATATTTGCATTTATGAACAATTAAAATATACAGTTACTGGCAATTATTAACACTTATGTGTACTATTCTCTAAATGTATGAAATGTACATTTTCATATTATTTTTAAAAGTTACAGTGACTTTATATATCTATGAAAGACACAGCCACACAAGAGTATTGTGACAGCACCTATAGGATACTACAGACTGTCCATCACTGACCAAAGCAAATGGCATTACATCTCAAAATTTCTGATCCAAGACTGAATTGTGTTTAAAGTTGTAAGATTGTATAAGGTAGTTTTAATTGCATTAAAAATATTATGGACTATTTTTAAAAAAATAATTGTGAAAAATTATGCAATTATATACAATTATCAAAGAAGTGAAGGACCAGAAATATTCCATACTTCAAGGATCAATGGCGAAAACAATTACTTGTCATACCCATTGCAAGGGATTCATGAGACTCCTCCACTCCTGATTTTAAAGCGACTGCATTTTTGTTAAATGTTTGGATGACTATTTAATCAACTGTGAAAGAAATTGTAATCATGAACTGTGCACTCACTTTGATCCAAAGACAGAATTTTAAAAATTGACCATGCTGGCGTTTACCCATTAATAGGATAACAGCTAAGTTCTAGGAAGCGAACAAAAATGTTCATTCATACCAAATTATTTGAAAGTGTATTTTTTTCTTTTGTTCTTGTCAACTTCTAATTAGTAATGTTTCAAGGTTTTGGCTGACCCTGAGTAAGCCCGTATACATTATATTATTATTATATTATATTAATATATAGAACTCCCTGAATAAGAAATGAGCACAGAACATGCCATGGACACAGGATTCTTTTCCAAATGAAAGGGGACAGCAAGAAATGTTGCTTACAGACATTGTTTTAGCTGTTTCAGAACATTATGGATCACCCGAGAATAGAGGTTCCTAACCTGTGATCAACCTACCATTCAACTCTATGAAGTCCGTAATACTGGCAGTGTCATAAATCAGATCACCAAAAAAGAAACTCTAGACCTGGTAAACTTATTAAATAGTGTAAATAGTGTAAATAGCCAGCCATTTACACTTTGAATTATTGCAAAATTAACAATAAAAAAATCCAGCCCCTTGTCAATGGGTACTGCAATTCTCTCAGGCATGACGCTGACACTACTCGCCACCATCTAATGCAGAGGTTAAGAATGCGTGGAGATATACCTCCACTTCCCGATATATTTTCATAGCATGGTATCTAATTAATTAATTAAGCACAGGGACAATTTTAACAAAGCAGAAGTAAGAGGAGAACCAGATATCTGGCTTGAGACTGCCTTGCCAGTGTGCATGGAGCATACATTCATATGCTGAGCGTTATTTGATATAACAGTTTCATAGTTCGAGTCTTCAAAGATCGCGAGACCTTTGTAATATTTCTTTAATTATGGATAAACTTTAACCATCTTTTCCTTATCAAACATCTACAACAGTAAACGTTAGAGCTGAAATAATTGCAGTGGATTTTACAAATTATTTAATTATTTTCACAGCATTTAGATTATTAGCACTGGATCAAAGATACATTATTATGGGCCGAACCTTTGGCTGGGAGACAGTGAACACTATAGTTAGTGATTTCACATGCTACAAAAGTCACATGTTCAAACATGACAGAATGACACCAATTTAAGCATATAACTCAGGGTTGGTAAAATTATATTATACAGTCTACTATAGGCCCGTATGGCAAAGATATAAGTCACATGTAATGGAAATTTAAACACCAAGCCACTGTCAGTTGTTAACACTCATGAAAGATAAAACCAAAGATTGCTGTTGAAGGTCAGCACTTCTGCCTTGTCTTATAATCTCGGAGAACACATTGAATAAGTTCTTCCAGATTATTTCCATATCATTATCAAAATTATTTGCTGTTATTGCTCATC